CTATAAAAGGAAAAGGTATGCATCACATTTTCCGAGCAAATGGATTCGTTGAACTCGTCGGAAATGATCTAAGTGCTTTGAAAAGTATTTATCAAGCTGCCATCGGGAGGTCATCAGGGAAAGTTCTGTCAGAGGACGGTATTTACAAAGAGGAGTAGCTGTTACTATCCTGATAGGGGGAAGCAGACGCTGCACAGCAAAGGCCCCGATCCACCTGATGTATTGACATGTGGCAGCTTTGAATCTTTGAATCTGGCTAAATAAGCATTATCCGTCCATCCATCTCATTCCTTGTAGGGTCCCGAGGAGCTGGAGCCTATATCCAAGCATTATGAAGAAGGATTTTTCAAAAAATATTATTTTCCCGTGACGATTTCGTTCTACTTTGTACTTCAAATTAAGCTGGCGTCATGGAAACAGCACACGATGGCCGACCTCATGTCAAAAAAGGACCCATTTAGAAACATTTCTAAACAGATCACTCACAAGCTTAGACTTCTCTGCTTCACATCTCCTTAATTGTTCTTCATACCGATAGGAAAACAGATGGAATCAGCAAATGCTGTCACCCTGTCTCTGACTTTTCGTTCATCTCCACGTCCATCCCACATTATTGCTGGTCCTTTTTGTCTTGGATGCTCATATACAGTATTTCAGGAATGCAGACTGAAGCCCGATACGCCGGGGCCCAGCTAGCACAACAGAGGGCAGAAGCCTCAGAGAATAACACATAACCAAAGCCCTGAAGAATTCCCTTGGAAGCAGCTACTGACCAGAGGACGGTGAGGTGGAAGGGAGGGCAGGAGAGCTGCTGAAACCCAAGACCTAAATAGCACCGGACTCCACTGCTGATGACTGCCTCACATAGACACTTAGTCCTTTGGTTTTTCTGCTGTTTCTGGCCACAACTGAAACTGGTTAAAAATACAATGCCCTCATGCTGAAAGACTCATTTAAGCATTCACACTATATCGCCAGATTTTCCACAAATACTGGCACATCATGTCAAATGTAACAACAAAAAAAAACCTTGTTTGGACAGCTTTTGACTTCAGCTAAAAAACAGATTGAATTAGTTTAAACAGCAACAGGTCAGCAGAGTGTTTCAGGGATAAAAATGAAGAGGGGTTGGCAACACAACCTTTATTACACTATTATAACAGTACGACTGTGTAATAAAGTTCTGTTTTAAAGACTCCTACATCACAAAGCTGTGCCATAAGTTAATTTTAGCTATTTTGAGTCGGATGCATTTGAACCATGGTTAACTTTTTAATGTGTTCACTTTTTTTCCTTCCGTCACGCAACATTTTAAACTGTCACATAACTATGTGCAGCTGTAAAGTCTGTAACAATTACTAGCGTCTAAACGTGTCACTCTGATATGAGGAGATTTGTTAAAGGGAGAAGAGGTCTTTGTTGAATAATCATTTAACATACTGACAAAAAAAAAGACTTCTTTGGGTTCTTTAACTTTTTGTCTGAAATGAAAGCCTTCATACAGTAAAAATGGGATACATAAATCCTACATGCAGACTCAGAAGGTTGTTTCTCATACTTATACATGCTACCACCCAGATTTAAGTCACTTTGTTGCCATTAATCCTTCCTTAATTTCTTGGTGAGTGTAAAAATACACTAATGTGTAAGATCAGATTTCCCAGGCTGACTCGATATGACATGTACCTCTGTCCATGTTGTAATCTACAATTATTCATCACGTTCCCAGCTTTGAACCATCCACCAACGTGTGTGTGTATATATATTTCGTGCACATATGATAACACTCTGCGGGTTGTGAGCGGCGTGCAGTGCCCTTGCTGCAGATGCTTGTCTCTAATCAGCCCCTTTGATTAAAGGAGCATCTTGGCATTCTACCACTAAGCTTCTGCGGCCAACGGCCGACAGAACGCATATCCACAAACACTAAGTCCTGTATCATCCCGTGGAATGCGTCCAGCCTCCACCAATAAGCCACCGGGAGGCAGCTACTTAACTGAGGCATCGCTCGCTCATCCAGCCTATAATAACGGCAAAGAAAAAAATACAAACAACTCCCTGAAAGGAACGCTAGGACGCCTTCTTAGAAAGTGGTACAAATGCTGACATGCATGCAGACACACAACGACTCCCGTTTGTAAGCAGTGGCAAGTACTTCTGCTGTCTGATCCTCTCCGGTGCCTCTAATGAGCCAGGTTAGAGTTTATAACGAGCACGGAAGCTGGCAAAGAGGAAAGGGAGTGACCGTTTTTCAATTAGTCGATTTCGTAAGTGAACAAAGGTAATGCGATGCTATCATCTGTGACGTTTCCTGGGAAAGAGTCCATCAAATTCCAGGCATTTCCCCTCTTTAAATCCGTTCTGTCGTTGTTAATTCACACCACATCAGACGGTGTTGTGACAGCACATATGTTAAAGTGGTTTACCCGCTTATCTCGCATCAACCCCAAACAATCTCAGAGGAACTAACCAGACAATTGGTCAAAAGAATGCTCCCTGAACTCCCAGACTGAAGCCTTCTGACAGCCAGCACACCTTTTTGATTCCCCGCCAGGACGGGGTTTCGAGACAAAGGTGTCGAATGCTGGCAGAGATGACTGAAAAAACTGGTTTTCCTCTTTCCCGAGCTTTGCCTCTAAGCTTTGACAAGTTTAGAAATGCAGTCGGCGGTAGAAAGAAGCATCGGCCTTTATCTGTAACGAAGCAGCCCTCTTCGGTGTGTGTCTCCCTCCTTTCAGGGGAAATGAGGCTTACGTGTGCACGCACATGCATGGTCACGCATAATTGTCACAAACAGCGACAATGACACCTTTGCACTTGTCGTTGTCATCTGATCTTCCTGTGAACCCAGAGCAGGAAATGTAAAAATATGAAAGTGAAAAAACAACGTCGGCACGAAGGGAGAAAAGGCTTTTAACTGTTTCGGTTCGCCAGAGTCCAGATTTGAAGCAAACCTTTAAATAATCAAGAGAAAAAATAAGCGAGAGAATGTCCCTTGTTTGTTGAATAAAAAAAAAAGAAAGGCTTGCCATATTTAAAGCCTATTTCCAACTCTTGCAGTGTCTGCTCCTTTGGGGAGAAACCACAGCTATGTCAGCCTAAGCTAGAGACAAGACACGGACAAAAACAGGATATTAAAAAAAGAGGTTCACAGCTCTCTGAAAGGCCCCGTCCAGCTTTAGCTGGTGTTTACTGCATTCAGGAAAGATATCCAACTGCACTGTATGACTGTTTTGTATATAAAGAGGATATTTTTCTTTTTTCAGTCCCGTGAAAAGAGTGGACTCTCTTTGTGGAGGTATCATGTGATATAATCTGTGTTTTCATAAAATCTCTCTGATAACATGTGTTGTAATGTCTGCCATGGGAAAGAAAAACTTCCTGTTCTTTTTCGCTGAAATGAAAGAGGGAAAAACCAAGTGTGTAACAGACTCTGTGACAAAAACCAAAGCAGATAAACCAAAGATCACAACCTAAGAAAACACAAGGGCTCCTCTTTTAAATCCTATCGAAAGTATTTATCTCAATCTCACAGGATCGTATCGCGAACCGGTCTGTAGATAAGTGTCTTTTTCTTTGTCCTTTTCTTTTACGCAAGCATGTCTAAAGTAAAACTAAACTGAGTGTTGTGTTGGCAGGGTTCCAGACTGGCTTCTGCTTCTATCAGTCCAATAAGTCACAGGTTTTTTGAAGTACCTGATAACAAGGTTTTTGCTCTTTCATGCGTGGCTTACCTCTCGCTCTTTGATGCTTCCTGCAGTTTGATTGCTTTTGACCAAACGTAAGAAATTTCAAACTAGAGCAGCATTTTTGCACGGTATTGTGTTGAATCACGCTCGATATGACTCAAGGAGGACACAAACATTTTGGACTTCACCATGAAACCAGGCCGCTCGACCGGTGGGGAGCTGGAGGGTCACTCTCCTGGAGGCTATTTTTGGTGGTTGACGTGTAAAGTGAAACTGGAGACACGGCCAAAGCTATTAGTGCTCTAACTAACCCTCAAAAAATAAAAACAACAACAACATTGTAGTGATCCCATTCGCTAAGAGCATAAAGATGGTGTAAAATAAAATAGACAAATATTGTTCAACCACAGGTTTACCTGTAAAACACCTCAACTGCAAGTGCAATAGCAATTTAAGTTAGATCTTGAAAGCAGTTTTACATGCCAACAACTTTTCTGCATGACACCAAAATGCAGCAGTATAATCTCTCATTTCTCATTTGAACAAAGGATTTGGATTTTTTATTGGATCAGCTTTTAATTTCTTTGATTTCCTTTATATAAACTTTTTTTCTTATTTTTTTCCCAATACTGATCCTGTTCTGAATCAGGTGGGTGTGGTTACAGGTGTTTGCATGAGTAACCTCCTCTAAAATGTGGGGAGTGCCTGCAGAGTACTTCCGTGCCAAAATGCCCTCTGAATGAGACTCTGAACCCTTCATGACCTCGCTTTAACGTATAACAGTCTCTTTGTGGAGAGTGACACACATCAATAGAGAAAAACAATTCATTCCAGATTCACATATATTCCAGAGCTTCTTTTGTCAGATACTTGATTTTTTTTTTCAAATTAGCTTTTTTCCTGTTTTATTTTGAACATATAAGTTTAACTCAGTGCATGGTATGCCCCTTAACCAGTGGTATCCAAAATGTTGCTTTTGTCATATTTTAGATTTTTTCTGAATATTTCACAGAGGAAAACAAAAAAAGGAATCTTATTTTTTTTATTGCATCAGATTCCTGTCTAAATAGTTTTAGTGGTCTTTTATCAGCATTTAAATGGGTCTGCTGTTTTATTCATGTTCGAGGAAAAAAATAGTTATGTTATGTTGGCAGACGGTTAAAGGAGAAAAAGACAAACTGAAATGTGGCAAATGGGAGGTACTGTACTCCAAAGTTTTGGCTTCGCGGAAATAGAGGATCTTTGTTCGGGTGGCCAGTCGCCTAGCAACGAGCTACAACAAACCCTTGCTAGCATGCTAACGTTAGCCAGGGAGCTAAGAGCGAGGTTTCCTTGGAAGTTTGACATCTTTAACGCAAAATGGTGAAGCAGACGATACAGATATTTGGTCGCATCAAACCCACGAAGAAACCTGTGACGGTAAGTGGTTGAAATGACTGGTGGGTTAGCACGACTGAGATATAAATAAATAGAGAAGAATGAAAGTTTTACTCCGTTTGCACCCCCCCTCCTTTTTTTGCGACGATTATTAAAAAGGCCTCGAACAACCCATTAGTTTATTAACTAATACATAAAACAATAGGAAAGCCAAAAAAGAGGAAAACTTTTTTCAGATACTATAACTTTTCTCTACATTTTCCCACAGCTGTCACAACTTTTCAACTGATTTGAGCTTCTGTCTTTCTCACTTGTCAGCTATGTATTTAATTATGAAGGTTCCCGTCTATCATGTGTTCCAATAAATCACTCAAATGAACCAGAGTTTACTGAGAGTGCCAGGCCTGAGGAACAGGAGCCGTCACAAGTGACAGGAATGCAGTCATTAACATTTTTAAATGACTGTTTTGCCATTTTAAATCACCTGTTTTGTCTTGCCTTAACATGTCAACATTTGTTCACCATAAGGAACACAAGTATAATACCATATAACCAACCCTGCTGGGGGTCACACACACACACACACACACACACACACACACACACACACACACACAGTCTTAATCAGCAAAGATCAGGTCCGTGAAGGCCGGATTAATCTGGAACACATGTACAAATGTCAGCTCCTATCAGCCGTATTTCTGCCTAACTAAAGGCAATTTAACAGTCTGAGAATAGCAGCAAATGGTGAAAAAAAAGAAGAAATTTAATGCTTTTGTTGGGCTGTAAATGACTACTTAAATATTAGATATATGGGCACGGCTTTTTAAAAATTCTGGTGTTTTGTAGATGTGAAAATGACAATAACGACAGCAAAACGAACCACAGAGAACGGAAACAGGCCAATAAAAACCAATTCAATCACTCAGGTCTTATCTTTTATTCCTGAAGCCCAAGGGACTTGGAATTACATCAGTTCACATGGGGAACATATGCCAAAATATGTTGAGGCTCAGAACAAGGAGGAAGGGGGTGTTTAGGCTGACCCGGCCAACCTCTCTCTAAATGCTCGCCAGCTCTCCAGCTTCCAGCTCACTTGATATTGGTTTAATGTGCAGTTTTCCTCGTCTCCCCTGGGGCTCGGATTTGGCTCCGTTCTGCACTGTGCGCTGAACCTGATTGCATCTTCTGTTGTATTGCTTTCCTCGGGATATTTGCTCCATAAACTCTTTTTTTTCCTCCCTTTTGGTTGCTTGCAATCCCCAGACCACAAGTGTCCAAACGTATATTTTAAACCGAACATGAATTATGGACTTTGTGTTTAAGTTGGGCTGTACAACGCACGACACCACATACGAATGGAAACATGTATCGGAGGCTACTCTTTCATAGCAGCACATTAATGTTTATGTAGCAGCTCTGAAATACTCCACAAATGTCTTGTGGGGTATTTTCTTGCCTGTACTCACCAGCCCGCTGTTGGCTCCGGTTCCCCCAGGTGTACTCGGTGGACAATGACCAGCAGACAGGTGCGTGTCTGGAGTTTCTGGTGCCCAGGGACCTGGCCGATGGCTTTGTCAACAATAAAAGGGAATGCTACAAGTTCAGGTACAGTTTCTGAGCTATGAATCTCTCCGTTGTTCAGATTTTGTTAAAATGACAGTCTAAAAGGTAGATAATGTGAATGTACACGTGTTTAAGAAATGAGCAAACCTAAAGTTAGAGGAGAATATTCAGGATGGTCACCTTGAGATTGTTTTAAGAAGTAAAATCATGATATCCTCTGCACTTTTTTTTCTGTTACACTAAACTCGACGGGAGCAGTTTAGCTGTGAAAAGCTTCAGTAGCGACACTTTGCGTTAAAACTGTTCTTATATTTAAAGAATTGTGTCCACCAGTGAAGAGCCAGAACATCTGTTTAATGATGGTGGTGAAGGCTGCAGCCTGATATTCCCTCTGGGCCGGGCCCGTGCCACGCTTCCAAGCCCTGAGTTCACAGTTTGGGATTTAGGCAGCAGTGGACATCCAGAGCCTTTTGAAAACCACACAGTCTTAGAATAACCTGCGGGGGTTGTTTGTGCCCTTATAGAAATAAAATTTCCACATTTAACGATCTTCCTGGGTGGACTCCTCTCACTTCTCTCTTTTCTTTTTTAGAGATTGGAACTCTTTTACCAGTTTTGCATTTATTTAATTAATTTAGATGCAGATTATGAAGAATTTTTGGTATAGAATTGAATAGAAGTTTAATGCTCTTTGGTGTTCTGTTTCACATCATGATTAATGTTATTTCCCCTCGCTTTTCTCCAGATTCAAAAAAGTGTTTGATCAAGATACCAAACAAGAGGAGATTTTTGAAAATATTGCCAAGCCAGTTGCTGAAAGGTAAATTAAGTCTTTTTAAATGAGTGGTGGAATTTACCATTTAAATGAGTTCACATTCATTTTTAAAGTTTATACAATCTAAACAAGCGGTTTTGCTAATAAGCATCAATAATTGAGTTTCCTCTCCACTAATTAAATTTCCCAAATGTCCCCATTAATCATTCATTCTCAACAGTATTCAAAATCAGGCCACACAGACTTTATCCAGCCTTGTTGACAGGAAGTCAGTAAAGCTCAGCTTTCTTTAAGATGGAAATGAAGGGTGTCTGTGATGTTTGGCATGCTTTATGTACTTAAACCGCTAAGTGGATGGAGCTGGCAGGCGGAATGGCGCACTGTGCCATCATGAGAATGAGAGGATTTTCAGACCACAACACAGATCTGCAGTTTCCATACTGTAAACGTAGAGTTGTGACACATTTACCTGTGAGACACACACACTGCTATGATACCTGGTTGTCCGCTTCTGTCACGTGTATATTAATGTACATACATACACACACACACACACATATATATATGTAAATGTGTATATAGATATGTATATATACACATATAATCTGCTGAAAGATTTAAAGAAGGCATGGAGATCTGACAGAAACTGCTTCCATCAGGGATTTTTGCTGCTTTAAGGGGACCTGTGGAGTCTTGAACAATGTGTAAAGCATCTTATATCGGGGTCTTTGTGAAGTCCAGGGATCATGTTTGTCCATCCGAACTTAACTCAGATCATCACATTTTATGCCAGTTTGCCCACTTCCCGTTACATCCTGTTGGTTTAAGAATGTGCTGTGTGTCCGTTTTTCCTTCAACACTTTCCAGAATTAATACGACATCAGTGTTTGTTAACACTCACTGGCAGCATATTTCTGAGCTGAACCATCCTAACACCGACTTTATACCTGACTCACACGTTAGCCTTTCTTTCTGTAGTCATTAACAGCTAAAGTATAAATAGAGATCAGGATTTCAACATCTCTCTCTTTTTTTAATGTAACATTCCAGTTTGGCCAAAGAGTGACTCAAGTCCATTTTTCTTTGGCCTCCAGCTACGATCAGCTGCATCACACACATTTTCGCTTGCCAGCTGCCACTGGAAAGAAATAATCAATGTTTCTCACTTCACCTTTCAGTGTATATGCCGATGGAGCAGATTGGTGAACATTTATTGAATACATTTCAACCTGCTTTTACGCTTTTGCTCATTTACATTTGTGCCTCTTATTGGAAACCAATTGACCAAAACACGTCAATAAATAAAGTACTAATGCTTTAAGGACGATTAGGAGGCAGAGAAGAACAAATGTAAAGCACAAAACACAAGGGAGACATGTTTTGTTATAAAAAAACATTGAGTTCTTTTTTTCATCTTCCAACTTTTGTAAATGTTTGTGCCTCAAGGATTCATGCAAACAGGATTTTCACTCCATATCCACAAATGGCAACCCTTATGTGTGACACAACATTACCCCCTGCTTGAACTGACTTCCAAAACAGAGTCAACAACATAGGGAATTTCCTTGGAATTTCCTGTGATCATATATTGGTTCTGTTGTTGGTATGTAAACCATGTTCTTCCTCTCCTCTCTTCTTCCTCTCCTCAAACTTCACCCTTGTCACTCGGTTTAGCTCTACTGTCTCCGCGACATTCCACTGAGTCTTCTTAGTCACAATAGGACCTATTTGTGGAATCCCACAAGTGCTTTGGATTATCTTTGCTATTAGTAGATACATAAACAACACAGTGAGATGTCTGGAATGGCTGACCGAAGACTTGGATGTGTCTGACCTTACTCACACAGGTTCACCGGCTTAGATATTGGGTTGCTCTCCTGAGCAAACATTTTAATAGCTCGGCTTTGCTATAGCAGATGGTAAACATCATGTCAAAAAAGTGGCAGTCACAACCCAGCTGTATCTTTCCATGTTAATTTGAGCCAGGCGTCTTTCAGTCTTTAATGTGAGTATTATGTCTGCAGTGTTGGGGGATACTAGTCATTCTGTCTGGCCATGACTAGTCTGTTTACACCATCAGACATGTCTTACTCTAGTCCCACTTCCCCCCAGATGTTTGCTGGACACATTTCCTTCCTATAAAGTGTTATGATAAAGATTATCAAATGCAGTTTTTTAAGATATATGACAGTTTTCACAAGGTGACACAAAATATTTAAAGAGATCTATTACAGTTTAAGTGTTATAATGAGAATTATGTCTCTCGGAACCTAATTTCTGGAAATCATGAAAATGAACAAATGATATCAACAAAAGCCTATATCTGCAATTTTTTTAACTCATCTAACAATAAAAAATATCGAAGTGTCATCCCTCAACATTTAATATCTAGATATATACATATAGAGTAAATATAAACTACATGAATTCGTGTACACACTTAAAAAAATGAATGGGAGAGAAAATAAATAAGAGGTGCCTCCATAGACCAGAGTAGTGGGAGCACTCAGGAAGATTCGATAATCTGGAATGACTATAAAGGGTGTCAGGTGACGGTGTCAGGATTGGGTATAAAAGAAGCATATACCAAAGGTTTAATCATCCCAAACACTGATGGGCCATAGCTAGTTTTTTAAGACAAATTCTGTCATAATTTTGTCAGTAAGTTCTAAATATTATGTCTGAAGTCTAGATTGTAAAAGCCAATGGTAAACGTGTGGTTGGTGCTGCTCTCATGATGAATATTTTTTAGACCTGATCAAATGTAGCCACATCAAATGTGTTCGATGTTCTAAATGCCATTGAGATGGTCATTGAAGACAGTAAATAATTTCCTAGGAGTCTTGTCTGGGCTGGCAATTGGTCTATGTGGACTATTCAGAAAAGGTGCTGTATGGATAGGAATGAGGAAATGAGAAACTCATAAAACATGTAAAGAGTGTCGAACATAAATACAAATATAAAGGGTTCATGAAGGCAAATTTGAGCAAAGCTCTCAACAAATTACAGGTTAAGGTTGTTATGACAATTTAGAAAAACTTCCAAACCTTTTAAAAAATGTGACTCTTATTTTCCATAGTAGCAATAGCTGTAACATTATATTTATGCTTTTTTGGGGTTGGTGTCACTCCGATGATAATTGGTACAATTCAAGTTTTAACCAAATGTCCTCTGTCATTTATTTGCATTCACTTCTGTGCTGTGGTGTAACTGCAACCATTCATTTGATCTCCAACACAGTTGTTTAAAAACAAACCAGCATTAATAGTTCCTGGAGAGGAAGAGTCGGTGTAATGATGTCGGCCTGGCAAGGCAAACCCTGTATCTGCATTGTAATCCAATTTCAGAGGGCAGTCAGACCTGCATCTGAAGTTCAAAGATGACTGGGTTTCTGTCCGGTCTCCAGGAAAACTGAGGTGTAAACAGGAACAAGCACTGGGAAACGCCCAAGCCTCAGTGGCAAAGCCCAGGCCGCATCATTAGTACTGACATTAAGCTAAACACTGAGCCCTGCGTCTTCTCTGCCCCCGCTGCCAATCACCGCCACGGCTCACGCCAGATTAAATGGACGCCCGGTGGCCGTCCAAGTTAGGCTGACCAACCATCATTTTCCTGAGTGGACGGGTTTTTTAAAATAAACTAACGCATTGTTTTTTCCCCCTACGCTTCTCATGCAAGGTGTGGAATTGTACAACACTCAGAAAAGGAAACCCACCAAATGCTCTAACAGTGGGCCGGCAGCTCCACTCGAGAAGTGAGAGTATTAAGTTTGTTTATAATTCATCTTGAAAAATATAGAGTAAAGATATCCTTTTTCTCGCAGCAGGCAGTCAGAGAGCACTGGGTTTATCCACACCTTTGATCTGAGCTCAATTGTCAGAGGCCACTCTGTCATTTAACCATCTCACGCTGATTTATTTCCAAGGCTATAAAACAGTAGCTTTAAAAAAAATGAAATATTATGTCTCATCTGAGTTTGATCATTTAGAGTATCACTGGTTTTACATGGCTGTGGGCACGTGTAGAAGGACAGCTTTGTGCCAAACCAAATTTTTTGCTGGTCCCTGCCTAGTCGAGAGGTTTTGGGTTCTTTCTGCCACTCATACTTGGAGACATTCCTCCCTCACCAGCAGATGTCTGTCGCCAGAGCAGCTCCCTCCTGACTGCCATCGTTTCCTGTGGATTTCATGTGTCAGATTTAATTCTCATGGACTGTTAGTGCTTGCTTGGGATAGTTTTAGAATTTAAAATGGTGTCGTCATTAGGAGCACTTGATGGATGTCGGCGGGAAGCTTTGCCATTTACAGACCAATAGGCTCATTGTGCATGTTTCCAGTCATTTTTACATAAAAACTATGTATTTTAATGAAAAAAATACATACAAAATACAACATTTAAAAGAAAGGAAAACTGAAGTTGCCTTTAATAAAAACATATGAATTTGAAAAAGAAAGCACCCCCACTTTCAGTTCTACTATACAATGTATGAGGACTTCTTTTCCATGTGATTGTTTTTTTCCAGTTTAAAATGAGTTTGTTCAACAGTATGTGAAGAGCTTTGCAGTCAGAAGCTTCAAATAAAATACAGTCGATAAACCGGTCGTCTGTAAGCAAGAGTACCCTTATAAAAGTGGAATTTTGATACATTTAGATGTGTGTAACCATTTCACTCCTTTATTTTGCAGTGAGTAAGATTATTTACACATTTATTTTATAAAGTTGATAAATTGATTAAACTGAAAAACAATCTTTGAGGTTCATAAAAGCTTTTTGCTGAAGCTTTGTGAAAAGCAAAAGCAAGAAACAGTCCAATTTCAAGACGTATTCAAGAGGTATTTATTCATGTGCTCTCTAACTCAAAAGGCTTTCTCCTTGCAGACCTCTGATAGTCTTAAACCAAACCAAACAAATCACAAATGCAGCCACCTCCTCTCAGTTCCTGTCTCCTGTTTCTCTGCAGTGCACTCGCGGGCTACAACGGCACCATTTTTGCCTACGGCCAGACGGGTAGCGGAAAGACCTTCACCATCACTGGGGGGGCGGAGCGCTACAGTGACCGCGGCATCATCCCCCGCACCCTGTCCTACCTGTTCGAGCGCTTCAGCCAGGTCAGCACGCGCATGCTGTTCAGTGTACACAAATACCCCACCAGAAAATATGCTAGTTATCATGAGTGTGACGTGCTACAAATTGCCCATATTTTCTGCTAAATCTCCCCCTCTGCAGTCCAGTGTCAGATGATGTTGTTTTGCCTCACAGGACAGCAGCATGGTGTACACCACCCACGTGTCCTACCTGGAGATCTACAATGAGGTGGGGTATGATCTTTTGGACTCCCGTCACGAGGCATCTCGACTGGAAGACCTGCCGTCAGTTTTCTTTTTTAAAGCATTGCATTTTTCTTCTTTTCATCTACTCTAGATTTGGTAAACCCACAAATGATGAATACACTGACCAATAACCTTTGAGTTCATTATAACATTTGCGGTCATGGCCAAGCCTTATTACTAAGCCTGACTCTGAGTTACCATATGCTGAAATATGGAGTCCGTGATACTTACCGAGCCGCTATGAACTGCTGACTGACATAATGAGACTGTGGGACAGCTATGGATGTGGTCTAACCGGTGGATAACTCCTGCTCTGAGGGTCATTGTTCATAACCCAACGTTGCACAAAGCTAAGAATAATTCCCTGTTTTATTCATCTGCCTCCAGCTGGTTTCTTTTCCTCACTGTTCATCATCCTTTTTTTGTTGTTGCATACTATAAATTCCTTCTGTGTAGAGGACTGCATGTGATTTTATTTTTTTAATCATCTGTTGTTTGTCAGACAGAATAGTTGCACAAAAGCCTTTCTATATCTGTATTCAGGGTTTAGGCCCAGAACACTTTGGCACGTGGATGAGCTGCGGATCAAACCAGCAATCTTCCATTAAAGGACGGCCTCTCTACCCTCTCAGCCACAGCCAATATTGGTCCTATATTTTCTTGTGCCGTTCAGTTTAAATTGCTTCTCTCCTTTCACAAAGGATCCAGGTCAAGGTTTAGATACCCACAAATCACAGCTCTCTGGAAATAGACAGTGCCTGTCGTTAACTGTGCCATGGCCACACTTGCTGATTCAAGGAGAAGCTTTGGCACAGATTTTTTTTTCTGTTTCACTACTGCTTTCCTCTCTCCTTTGCTGCCCATGGTACCCCTTCTTCTCTCTGACATTTTTTACAATTTCCCTATGGTTTATATTTCCTCTTGCCATCTGCGCTCTATTTTCATCATGCTCTCACTTTTCCATCCTCTGAATGCCTAATAGGATGTAAATATCCTTTATTATGTCTAAGTTTGTATAATTTTAGTTAAAATACAATAATCAAATTATATTTTGGACTACAGCAGCTGTTTAGGAAAATAACTCTGTCATGACAGAGCTCTTGATCACGATATGATTGATACTGTTTTATCAGACCACCCCAATTACCGACACATGCTAATGTAATTATCTGCATGTGTTCTCCAGCCATTCATCCCTTTATAGATGTCAGTCTAGTAGCCATGTCGAGTGTGGCAAGATGGCAAGAGTCACTCACTCCCATCTGTTAAAGCACTCTCTGCTTCAGATTGACTAATGCTTCCAACAAACAATCACCTGTTTCATTTTAAAAGCAAGACCTGTCTGTTATCAAGTTATGAACCCCCAGACAGATAAAACACATGTCACACGGGGTCACAGCCCACACTGACCCGCATGTGTGGTATGTTTAGGTTTAGTGATGAGAGAGGCCAGGGCACTGGGAGGTAAATAGATGACATAACTGATGCAATTAGTTCTTCATTGTTGGTTTGGAGTTAGATTTTTTGGGTTTCTATTGGATTTTAGTTGCTTTGCTGTTTTAAATTCATTATTTCAAGTACAATTTTGGCTTTGTTGCTTTATAAATCAACTATAATTCATGATTACTAAAAGGTAAACAATATCTGCTTTAATCTTTCAAAGTTTAATATAAATTATGGTTCGTACTTCTAAAACTAAAGTAAATAAATACATTTCTCAAAAACCCGGCCAATAGGCACCTCTTTTCCATCCTGAATAAGTTGAATGTGCCACATTGTATTGACTGAGAATGACTGACTATTTTTCCATCTTCAGAAAAGTGCTAATTATGGAGGACCCAGAACAGAACATCCACCTCAGGAACTTGTCTCTGCAGCAGTCAGCAAACGAAGAGGAGGCTCTGAATCTTCTGTTCCTGGGTGACACAAATCGGATGATAGCTGAAGTAAGAAAATATGGGAGCACACACATGTCATGAACACATGTTGTATTCTTAGTAGGACTGTAAATAGCAAAAAATGCCACTGGCCACTCCTTGGATAAGTGGCATAGAGAGTTTTTCTCTTTTTTTTGTTGTTCCACATATGCATGATGCATTCAAAAAGTACCTTAGGACCCCCCTAAAATATTATTTTGGTGCCCTGTGGTCCTTTTACCAGTTTTTTCCCCCGTAAAACCAAACATTCTCTCTGTAATTTGTGTTTATGTTGTGGTGTTTTTTTCTACACTTGCCCAGACTCCCCATGCTGATGAGGCATGTGGTGGGTCAGCTTTGCTTTGCAACCTGAGGTTTTGAAGCAAAGGACTCACCTTGTTTATTCATATTGCAAGTTTCAAAGTAAATTTTTTGGTGTTGCTGGGTTTCTTCCATCAAACAAAACCAGTGCGATGAATGCTGCAGTTCAAGTTCCTCTTTTTTTTTGTCTCAGTTGAGTTCAGATTCAACTTTTTAAAAGTAAAACAGTGTGATATCTCTGAATATAGACTGTAATTTGTGTTCATCAATCAGGACAGCACAATCCCAGCATCCACTGATGTGAAATCTTTTGGGATATTTCAGTGGGAGCCCTTTCCACCCACACAGAGATCTGACTTACTTTTGCTCTCTGAGAACCTTCATCACAAGAAGCTTCCTCTGGAGTCTGAAGCAAACAAAGAACCATCAACATAGTTCATTTATCATTTTCAGACTAACTCCACATGTCCAATTTCCACATAGACTTCCAATAAAGTTAACAGAAAAGACTTCTTTCTTTTCTCTCATTCAAACCATGTGGATAAATGATGACACATCCAGTCAGTAGACCTCAGTAGACCGTGAGCTCACTCTCTTTGGAGGCTTACCAATCCCCTCCACAGTTTTATTGGAGAGAAAGCACAATACACCTCCTTGACTCTTTATTCTTTCGACTGTTATCAAAAAACATTTCCTCTCATGTGGGCCTTTCTCTCTATCTGTACACTTGACCCCCCCCATGTGCATGTACATGAATAGCCCTCCCCCACAGGACACAGGCAGCCTGAACTTGCAGGGAGAGGTAAGGTGCACAGCAGGTGGTCTAGATTTAACCTCCACTCTTATCATTTAAATCAAGCAGCTCTAAATGTTGTGCATTTTTAGAGCCAGATTCCGCGGGCGCACTGTGTGTGGTCAGTTTGTGGTGCATGGCCGATCAGCATGTGGCCCGTTAAGGCTCCAGTGAGGTCACATTGTCCCACGGCTTTTTTCACAGCTAAGACGCGTTTCTGTGCACCGGTACTGACTGTTTCCTCTGTTTCCACGCAATCCCTGACTATCATCTCTAGTGATACGTTAAGGGGTCGATCACAGTGCCCACCCTGGCGAGGGCTGATAATTGTCCTTGTAAAACGGATATAATGCCAGAGACAACAGTCACCTCTTATCTGTGAGCAGCTGCCAGTGGGTCTTAACTGTCAGCCACTGGTTTATATCTCCACTGTGTTCAGTCATTGTCAGTTGTACTGTAACACATATCAGCTTTGGGTAACACTGGCCCGATACTCTTTGAAAATGTGCTAATCCTAAAGGGTGTAGGATTATGTTTATATTTGACTGATAAATATTTATATGCGCGTGTAAACTCTTTTTTTCTATCAGTAGAAATCTTTTTGCTTGAGAAATGATTTATTCAGTACTTTATAGAAGTGTATTTGAGGACAATCACAGCTTTGTGCTGTTTATCTGCAACAGCTTTTCACACCTAAATTGTTTTCATGCTTCCTTCTCAGTATATTCTAAACAATTTACATTAGATTACATGGGAGTGGTCATTTTCATGTCTGTTTACATTCTTACCACAATACTCTGTCTATTGCGTTTTTATGCTTTTGTTTCTGTAAGGATATCGGGATTGTACACCAAGAAATAATCGAGTGTGACCTCTTGAGAAATCACTTTCACAGGACAATTGCAGTTTAAAGAACCCCAGCTGCAGAGACTGAGGGGAGGACTAGCAAAGCAGTAAAGCAAAGGCTTTATTCAAAACTAACTGAAAAAGAACAAATGAACTATTCATAAAACAGCGAGAAAATCATTAAATGGCTCAGAACAAAAAGTAACAGCAATAAACAGCAGAAAATGATCTGGGACATTCATACTGAACTAACAAACGAGCAAGAGAAGTAAACTAGGGATAAAAGGTCTGTTTATGGAGAGAGCTGTTGTGCTGGATGCTGTGGAAAGTTACCCTCTGAAGAATTTTATTCAAACACTGGCTAATAATAGTTCAACACAGAGATTTGAAATGATTATGAACATTTATGGCCAATCTTACAAAACTGAGACTTAGTAGGATTCTTCTTTTTTGATACTCCTCAGTCATTACAAGTTAACTCAAAAAAGCTTCTATTCCTCTACATGTTTTTTTAATCTAGTTATTTTCTCCCATGTTCAATTTAATTTTAGCTGAGAGACAATGCCAGCTGATTTGTTGCTTTACCATTCTTTGATTTATATGCATATATGTAGTCACTTTTTACTTTCATAGAAGTGTAGAATAAATTTAATTAGGTTTCCTTTGGATCTGACAAACTAAATGTGTCATTTCATTCCAATTTCAATGTATTTTGTAGGAGATGTCAAAGGTCAGTTACCAGAGTGACAAAAGGTGTCATTCATCACATCAGCCATGGTCATATTCCACTTGGTTTAACAGTCATCACTTGTCTAAATACATTATTGGTGTTATTTCTCCAGTGACTAGTGCTCAGCAGAACAGACACACTTCTCCAGCTCTCCAATGCAGACTGTACGTCATTATTTCAGAGCCTGCAGTTGAAACATCAGCAAGATGTTAATCAACACAATCTTCTGAGTTATAACACACTAAATGCTATTAATGTCAAAGCTCTTATTTATTTATGCCACCTGCCATTCGCTCCAAGCAAAGGTTTCAGCACAGTTTTTGGGAACTGTATTGAATAGATTACTGATCTGTTTCCAAATGTGGACGCTGGCAGGCTGACACCGTAATGATGTGGCTCTGAAATGCCACTTTGCTATTAGCTGGTGGTCTGGTCATTGCATAAACTAGATCTTATTCTATAATGAAGCCTGGACTCTCTCACCAATCCCTGGCCTTGTACAGCTTTGTTAAGATATGTGCTCAAGAAACTTGAATAAGCCATTCATCCCAAGTTAATAATGCTTGTTTGTGACTCATACTCTATTTTTGTCTCCTCGTGGCCTCAACCTGACTTATTCCACTTCAGTGACCATCTGAAAGTCGACCTCAGGTTCTCCAAAGCAGCCACATGTGTTTACTGCTCATCGGTTGCACATGGTGAGGCTTTGATCTGAGGCAGTGGGAGCAATAAAGAAACGCAATCAAAGGAAACTTGTTTTTTTGTTGTCGGAAAATGGAAAATACATCAGATGGATTCCACCACGTACACCAATATTTCAAGATACGGAATACTCCCATAAAATTGTGTCTCTTCTTAATGTTCTTTCATCTCTTTCTTCTGGTCTTTCTCATCCTCAGACTCCCATGAATCAGGCTTCCACTCGTTCCCACTGTGTTTTCACTGTGCACTTATGCAGGCGTGAACCGGGCTCAGCCACACTGCGGCGGTCCAAGCTCCACCTGGTGGACCTGGCCGGGTCCGACAGAGTCAGCAAGACCGGTCTGAACGGACAGCTGCTGACCGAAGCCAAGTACATCAACCTGTCCCTCCACCACCTCGAGCAGGTACACGCTGCCAGTGCACACTTCAAAATGGAATTTAAGGCGATTTCATTCCACTCAGTTCTGGAGTTTGAGAACTGGCTTGAAGAACTTTCGCAGGTGTTACATGTTTCTCTCTGCTGTCTGGAGACATGTTGGAGTTTTGTAGATGGTTGTTTTTGGGATAGAAGACGGGCTTGGAGGTTCAAATCCTGACGACTGTTGCATTTGTTTGCTTTTTTCATCGCTTTCTTCCTCAGGTGATCATAGCATTGTCAGAGAAAAACCGTTCCCATATCCCGTACAGAAACTCAATGCTCACATCTGTGTTAAGGGACAGCCTGGGGGGCAACTGCATGACCACCATGATTGCCACCATGGCAGTTGACAGACGAAACCTTGATGTAAGGATAAAAGTTTTCTACTATGTTCTGACTCGATATTCTGTTAGATTATTTTTAAAAAAACATGAGAACGAGGATTTTGGGGTAAATTTAAACTGTTAAATTAAAATAATTAGTTGGTAAACAAATTGTGCATACTGTTGGATTTTTTGGCTTACTCAGCATTCCATTTTTTTTCTGGAAGTATAATCTATCTACTAAGTATAACGCTGAGCTGTTTAAATATTTTTTCAACAGGAGTCCATCTCCACGTGTCGCTTTGCTCAGCGTGTGGCTCTGATAAAAAATGAGGCAATATTGAATGAAGAACTGGATCCTGCCCTGGTGAGACCGCCAGACACTCGCAGCATTTCACCCGTCACCGAAAGTACCCGAGCTTTGCCACACAGTCACACCACAGAGGGATGACTTAATGTGCTGCTTTATCAGAGCCAGACCCTCCGTGTAGCTTCCAGACCTAAAATTGATCAGCAAATGAAGTGCAGTGAGAAGCGGTGTCTAACTGTAACAAAGTATAACCCACAGTGTGCTTAAGTGTCCTGTTCACGTTTCCATTATAAATATTTTTTTCCAGAGAGAGACAAGCATCCTACGAGTAGCACTATTCCACCTTCATTAATGAATGCGTATATATATACATAGAAGAAAGACGGAACAAAGAAAAGTACGAAAAAAGAAAACTGCACATTAAGAAAAAAAATTAAAACATAGAAAAAAGTATTATACAGAAATGTGTCAGAGCTTAAGTAAGGAGAATTATTTAGTTTGTTATCAAAGCTATATCCACGTCCTCTAGTTGGACCAGGCTGAGTACCAACTGCTACTGTATTACTGTTACTGAGATTTGGCTGGCCACTTGCAAACCCTACAAAGGTATTTTTAAGAGAGTCTGCGGCTGGCCCAGTAATTGTGACAGAGTCTGGCTGCTCCCAACTGGGCCCAACACAGTTACAGCTCCAGGCAAATCCAAACTCTGTTTATGGATTTTCAGCCCGTCTCTCATTCTGCTCACTGCTCTTGTCCATCTAACTCTATTCCCATCTCCTGCTTTCTGATTAAAACAACGCAGAGCCAGGAGTTCATTTATCAAAACATAATGAGGTCATTTATTGAGTATCTGGGAGGAAATTTGGGCCTGGCTGACCGATGCCCCGCTGTTGGACCTACTTACTGTAGTAGCTGGTTTGAACCTGGAGCTTAATTTTCACAATGGTGTTTGTCTCACAGTCTGAGTGGTCCCACACTGTAAGCTGCAGGCTACTAGATGGATGTCTGAACAGCAGACTGAACAGCAGGAAACCAGCCAGACCAGACAAAATATTTAACAAGTCACTCATGGGCAAGGAAAGAATGAGGTGCTGAAAGTGACCTGTGATATAATGAAGGCTGCCAAAGTGACCATACCATGTAAGGTTGGTGGTTCCTCTGTGGGAACAAAGGTCGACCTGAAACCTCCATTTAAACCAGACTGATCCCGATTCATTCATCATTGGGGATTTTCTGCAGTTCCAGGAATCCTCCACAACCCACTGCTCCATTTATTTGGCATGCTTAAGTTAATTCAGAATCATATGCAAGAATATTGACTTGTGTTCAGTTGTGCTGCTATAAAACCGTTTTACTGGCAAAATTAAAGGGTTCAAATTAGTGAGGTCCAGATCAAGACGTTGGAGTAGCTTATTTGTTTTTTGAGACAGTCCTCCTGATGCAAAGATACAGATTAATTTAAAAGAATCCTGAAGTAAAATGGTCTAGTTCAAAGGGAGAAAAAAATAATTGGGAAAACGTAAAAACTTTAAATGTCTGCCGTTGGGTGAAATAATAGTTTTACAGCTAATTTAGTTGTAAATGTATAACTGAAAGGGATATGGTGTACATTAAAACCATCTCAATCACACTGATGACTGGCCATTTTTAAATATTGTATTTTGCAGAAACTTTTCTCTTTAAGCAGTGCCCCTCTGTGTTTTGCCCCATCTGAGCCTCAGTTACCTGAGACAGTTTAATCAGTCTACTGGTCACCTGCTTGTGTCTGATCAGATTCATTGTGCTGGCTGAACATCTGTCACCACCTCCTCATTAAATGCTCCAAAATGCAGGCCCAGCGAATGGAAATCACCTCAAACATAAGAGCAGATTAAGTTCACAAATGGATATTCCTCCTCAACCTAAAGCTCCCCTTCACAAATACACAAAGAAAAGACAAAAGACAATGATTAGCAGATACCTCTGAGACAAACAGAAACTGCTTCTCACCAACCAGACAGACATTTTCAGAACGGAGGTGTGAACATTCCTGGATGTAATTGCACTTCCTGGTTTTCTCATCTGTGTCGTCAAAGGGACGCGTATGCTGTCGGACAGGGTTACGTTGTGTGTTTGTGGAACACAGCCCATGTGTTATCATTTTGTTGTGGAGGATAAAAACCTCACCCACGCTTAGGTGTAATGGGAAACTATGCCTCCCATCTTCTCATAAAAGGAGGCCCCATAATAGCAGCGTGTTTGTGAGTGGCACACTGTGTAACATTGTCCATATGCACTTAAAGTCTAACCTGTGGTTAAACTGCAGTGCTGACAGTTTACTGTGGGTGGCTTTCTACACAGGAAGAGCAGCTATATTTTTAAAGTTTGGACCGTGTTAAAGTTGTAAAGTTATCGTGACACGTTTTTTCAGCACGTGAGAGGCGCACAGAGAACATTCACCTTTGCTAGCATCACGTTGAGGACGTGTCGCTCTGACATGAGCGCTCACAGGTTTTGAAGACATCATCAGCCACATGGTCTGAGTCAGTTTTCATGCCGAGTGGACGGAGGCCTTCTGTGGTGCTGCGGTGCCAGTGTGGGCTCGGTGCTCTGAAATAGACAGCACAATTCTGCTGACCAACAACTGGCGGTCAGATTTTGAGGATGCAGCTGGAAGAATTACATCAGACCAGTTGTTCCAAAAAAGAGATACAGGGAGGGGTTCTGGTGAAGAATGGTCCGCCATGACATTCACTGTGAAAACATACGATACGGGGTGGATTAGGGGCAAAATTTTCATTTAGCTAAGTGGCAGCCTCACAAAACCACACAACAGGTCTGCTTTTTCTCAGCAGCTTTTTAGGTTAACGGTCTCTAACTGTCTGATTGGGTTTGGCGCTCCAAAGACTAAGTTTTAGCTCAAAATTCTCCAGTTGGACTTTCTATTTTGTATTAGAGTAATTCTCACTGACCATTGGCTACCAAGCAATTTTGTGTTGCTCAGTAGGAGAGTCATTGATGCACAGCTGCCTTTTTCTGTTAATGCTGCAAGATATTCAGTCTTTAAGTCCACTCTTTTTTTCTTTACCAGAATGTGGTCAAATCCAGTGGTTCTATTTAAGTGGCATTTATACAAGTGAGGAAAAGAACAATTGTTACTCGTCTTCTTTGGGTGATTGGTTTAGTATATAATGACTGACTTCATGCTGAAGTTTTAGTGCTGCTCGTCTGGTTTTGTTTTTTTTCCACCAACCACTGAGTTATTTGTAGAGTTAACGATTTTTTTTAGACCTGTCAAAATCAATGGATAAGTCTGTCTAGATTTTTTTCATGTGTAATAGTGCTTATAATGACAGCGACTCTTAATGACCTACATTAAAACAGAGATGTCATATTTCAGGTACATTTTCCACAACTCTAAAGGTTTTGTTGCATCATTTTTGTTCTGCTTGAGTATTGAATTTGTTTAGAAAGTTTAAAAAAAATAATCAGAACAAGTTTATCTGGCATTTCTGACATGTGCCATTATTTGTTTGTACCACAAATCGCCTGCTTCAACAAGAGTTAGTATGTCTAATCCAAAGCACCATTGGAAGCATCGGAGAGATAAAGAAATGCCCTCTGTCTCTTTAAGTGTCTGTGTGAAAGAAAATGTGTTATAAACAGTCAACGACCTCTTACTCTACTTTCTCTGTTTCAGTTAATAGCGCGTTTAAAAAATGAGGTCCTGTTACTCAAGGAAGAGCTGGTCATGGTGACAGGAGAGCAGAGAGATGAGAAGCTGTCCTCAGAGGAGATCTGGAAGTATGCTTCTTCTTTATTTACTTTGTCCCCCTTTCAGTCCTGTGTGCCTGTCATGATAAATACAACCACTCCACTGTAGCGAAGATGTTCATGTTCGTCTGGGTTCTTTGAGATATTGAAATAGACTTTTTTATCCTTTTGGTCCTGGAGAAATTCTAAGAGGAGATCTAATCTTACTGCTATGCAGGAGCTGGAATTTCTGCTTGCTGCGTCATCATTTCTAAAATCACTGAAAAGCAAAGACCAGCCGTAAGCCGTCTAACAAGTCTGGCACAACCCCTTACCCACTCAACTAATCAGTGAGCCCGCCACACACGGGGTGATGCTGGGAAACGTGGATTTATCATTGTAGAACCTCGTGAAAGCAAAGAAAAGCATTATTCATTGCTTTTGACGAGGAGAAAACATGGCTCGATATAAAAATGTCGAAGTTTGAGTTATTTTAGAAGATGAAAATCTGCTCTCCCATGACCCCCATTTTGAGCTTCAGTTATCTTAGCTCCACCATCACAATTCCTCCTTAATTTTCCAGACTGAAAGCCCTCTGACTGTCTGTAGGAGGTAAGACTCTGACTGCTCATAAGTATTTCCCACTTACATTAAATCCCTTTTGGAGAACATCACTGTTGACCTTTTGCCACAGAACCCTGATGTGTGTAATTCTTTGGAAGGCTTTGTACAGTAGATTGGTGAGGAGATTTTGTCTTTGTTGAGGTTGAACCCACAGATACTTTTTAAAATATTTTACAAGTAGTTGAGGTCTATCTAAAGGGCCAGTGTAACCTGCTGAATGAAACTGGCATTGTTGTTGAGTTGCACCCTAAATAAATGAGGGTAGACCAGTTCCACTCCAACAGTTAGAAAGAGTCAGACAGTCAAGAACCAACATCAAGACAAAGGCTTCATCTACAACTTGGCAGATTTCCTGCCCAAGCTGATTTGTTTCCCTTTGTCTTGGCCCCATCAGTTAGCTTTTTATTATTTCCGCTCTATCCGGGTGATTATTCCCAATTTCCCCCCACTTCTGTTCCAACTCACACTGGGAACCTTTTATGATGTCTGTTGTGACCACATTCAGTGTCCATACTGATTTTTTTTGTTTCTGTTTCTTCTTCATTTCATGCCTCGACTCTTCCCATGCGCTGATTGATTTCACATATCATGTGAACTTGTTCCAAATGTGCAGAACTCCTAAAGCGTGGCTTTTGTGTCTTTCCAGAAGACTTTCAAGCAGTACTTTGTAAAATTCAAGTTTGTAGAAGTCAATATCAGTTCACTCCCGTACTCCTTTTTTGCAGTTGCTTAGTAACAGATCCCTTCACACTTACAGCAGATTTTTGAACATCTTAGACGCTTATGTTTTATTCTCTTAAACAAAAAGAAAAATTCTTCTGAGTCCAACTTTCTACAGTGGAGACATTGATGTCTGGTGAGCCCCTGAAAGGATACCACTGTGTTTGTTTTAAGTCCCCCATCAGTTAAATCCTGCATGTTACTGTGTTAAACATGTGACAGAATAGAGAAACCCCACGCTGTCACACGCAGTCTGGATCTGTCTGGATGGCCTCCTCTGGTCTTTTCCAGTGGCACTTCCAGATCTCAGGAACCCATGTTTGGACAGTCATTTAGAGATAGTTTATCAACAGGCTGGCCCAGTGGAGGTGAAACCCACGTTTAAGTAAATAGTTTTATTTGACCAGACCCACATATTCAAACCACTCAAATATATTTCTGAGCTGTTTGTGTTTTTTTCAAACAAACCTGATGGAGGATCTTCCCATGGAATGCAGCACTGGAGCGCCTTAGTCATTTTGTGTGTGCTGTGTCCTCAGGTTGGAAGAGTTACTCAAAGATTTCTTACATGACCCTGATCCAGATGTGACACTGTCACTGGGACCCGACATGAGGAAGATTCAGCACTGTTTCTCCCTGCTGAAGGTAAAATACTCAAAGCCTCTTCAGTCTGTAGGTTCTGCTGGCATGATTTCCGGTATGAGCCGCTATGTGTTTCTGTTTTTCTCTATCCTTCCATCTTTTCTTTCACTTTGTTTTTCTCCCTCCCCTCCACAGCGAGACCCAAAAGCCCTGACATCAAATGATATTTCCAGTTCTGGTTATTTCTGGTCATGTCAGTTTTGATTCTGCTTATCAGTTTTTCTATCTACTAATAAAGCCCTTAGGTCAGAGTAGGCACACAGAGAAAATGTGTTCACTGATTTCCTTCGTCCTGCAGCCCAGCATTGACCATCTGACCTGTCACTCTTTTGGAATAGCTCCCCCTACTGCCATTTTCTAAGAATTGTTTTACCTTCGAATGACTATTCTAACAAATATGTTTACAACTTTTGAGGAAAATGACAGTCAAATAAAGTTTCATAGGTAGACATACCTGAGCACAAGTATTGAGCAATATTATAATTGTTGCTGGTAAATAGACCTAATTCACAGTAGATAGATGCAAATGTTATTCATGAGAAAAAGCGCTGAATCTTTTACAGTACATCTTTGTGCATTTTCATTTTAATTGCGTCTGGAGAGAATTTATGTCAAAAATATAATTTCTTAAGGATGAAGAAAGTGAGATTACTCAAACAGGAGCAATTATTCCAATACTGCTAATAGCCAAAAGGAAAACCCTGCAGTTCTGACCCCGATTCTCGGCTCCAGTGTGGTTAAAGTGGGAACTTCCACCATTCAGTTCCAGATCTTACTTGAAAGTCTGTTTATACCTTCTTTACCTTGTTATGATTGTAAAATCTGTCTGCTGTTGAGTTTACATTCTTGTGAGCATCACCCCAGTCGCACGTGGATGATCCTGCAGGAATTAGTTCTGCTTGAATTGAACTTCTTTCTTCTTTTGTTTACAACTCTGGCTTCTCTCCTCTGCTCACTAATTAGGTTGTTGGGTTTCACTGTGATGACTCATCTGCATTTTGACGTATACATGTCAAAATGCAGATGAGCGCTTTTTCTCTTTTCATTGTTAGCTGTTTTCAGTCTGCTAAATTATCTCAATTAAGATCATTTTAACCTAGTGCACCACATCCCAGTACCTCTCCAGGTCTTACGTGCACAGTACAATCTCAGTTCTCTCTTTGAGATGAGCCTTAGACCACATCTGTTACTATGTCAGGGGCTGGGTTGGGCTAAAAGAAACGTCTCTAATAACATTATCCTCTGTTTTCTTCTAAAGAAGATCATTTTGAGCAAACAAGGAGGAAGAGATGGACGCGCTGATGAACAACAGTTACCAGCAGCAACAGTGAGAGCAGAAGATACTCAGGTCAACCACATCGGTGCAGCAGAAGTGACCAAAATGAAGGAGATGCTCAGGCAGCGTGACAGTGAGATCAGTATCCTTTGACACGGTGCAGCCAACTTTGTTTTGTGAACACACCATATAAAGGTAGAACTGTAGGGACTGAATTGCGGTTCCTGGCCTGTGGCACTGCGGTGATGATCATTGAGGGTAGTTTGTTTGACCACCGGCTTTTGCTTTAGTAATTTTGCAAAACTTCCTGTTCAGCTGTTGTTAATGGTAAATACTACTGATCGTAATTATGGTATTTGTGTTTGAATAGAACATTTACAACGGGTTTATGGGATTTTTCTCCTCTCAGGACCTCTCATTGTGACTTATCATGAAATCACTGAAACTTAGTTGGAAAATTGAGTTTACTGCTTGATTATTTCGCCAGCAAAACCTCAGCTCACCATACTAAAGAAAAAATAATGATACAGGCATCTCACTCTAATATTTCTTAGACCATATACATGTAAAGTTAGATTTCTTCCTTCATTTGTGTGTTTTCCCTCTCCATCTATCACACAAAGGTTTCAGGTGATGCAAATGTAATTTATGGAAACCGTGCTTCTAAAAGGGGCATATTTCAGCTGGGATTGCTCCCACACACACTTATGACCATAATGCCTTCATGTTCCATTGCAAAGTTTGTTTACATAGTTACAGTGACCTAAACTGCCAGTCTTTCAGTTGTGGTGACCTGTCTGTTGTGTGTAACATTACAACCTGGGCTGGCCAAGCATATAGTTCTGACATCATTTCCAACCACATTCTTTGAAATCATATAAATCCATGTAAACTTCTAGCACACCACTCTGATGCACATTTCTGTATAAAATGTAGCTGAAATCCTCCAGTCAGCTCTGCTTAAACTAGGAGCCATGGCTGTGTGTGCTGCAGGGTCACCGTTCCCACACTGCAACTTAGTCTCCACGGGGTTGATGGCTGGAAAGTGCCTGTAAAACAAAATGGTGAATCCCAGCCGACTCCCCCTGTGTGTTTCCAAGCATGGCAGTCTCTGCATGGGACTTCCAGCACCTGGTAGTGCTTAGATGACTCTTCCAGTGGGATGATGCATCAACTAATAACAAAATGATGGACCAACACAGAAAAAGCAACAAACACAGACGAGTATGGGTTAATACAGCAGGCAAAACTTTGTTATGCTGGTCTCTGTGCTACCAGCTCCGCAGGGATTCGTCCCATTGGTCCCAGACCTCTGACATGTTTTGCCACTGAAAGTTTAGCTGTATCATGACTTTCAACTGTAATTTACTGAAAGTTGTTATCAGAAAAATATAAAACTGCCTCATCAATGACATTCACCCAACTACTCATTGTAGTTTTGGATATTTGTGGTTAGGTTTGTGGTTCTACTGGTTCTCTGTCGGACTCTATATTTTTTTTCTAGCTTTGTCAAATTTCCTTTGGAAATTGAAATACTTCCCGGGAACATAAAGCTGTTCTGTCTAGGCTCTTCTAAGTATGCAGAGATGTAAGTGAAATCTTGAGTTAGCTCAAGATTACCTGTAAGACTGGTTCTCACATTGAGATCTTTCTTTTTATGGTGGTTGTGTTCGCAGCTAATTTCGATGAAGCGTTTTCTGCCTAGTTGAGGTCATAGATGTCAAGAGTGATCAGGAGTGGGCTGATCTCACAACTGGTTCCAATGATGAGCAGCATATTGGAGTGGTGTTATTACCAATCTCAACTGCCTAGGATCTGCTTATATGGAGGTCCAATTTCCACCAGATGCTCAAATTATACAGGTTTTGCTTGTAAAATATGTAAACACAGTGTGGAAAGCAGTGGATATGGCTCAGTCCACAGATGTCCAGGCTGGCCCAGTTGTACTACAGTTGTGCTATACTGCTGACCCAGCATTCTGCCCATTGGATGATGGTTATTTAAACAGCAGATGTATTTTCAGGGATGTGTTAAAATTATCAGCAAAAGCACAGGTTAGCTGACTGATGTGTGCTGTTAGCATTGAGACAGACATGTTATTAGGCCCTGCAGTTTTTCTCATTTTTAGTGTCTGCAAGGCTTAGAGATGAAGCTTGATTTATGCAGCACTGTATAGAGTTTAGGGTTTGCTTAAAGGGTGTGTACGTACCTCAAGACAGGAAGGAAACTACTGAATTTAACAACGAAGGTGAAACATAAGGGGAAAAGATTGCTTAAGAGTGATGATGGAGGGATATAAGTGCAGAAATTGAATTTTCAGGTTGAAAAGATGAGCCGAGTTTTCCCAATGGGGATATCATTCAGTTTTATTTTCTCTCAGTACACATGTGTTGATTGTATCCAAAAAAGATTTGGCTAATGTAAGTAATAACTTACAGAATTTATATCTTTGCTCATTTTATGGTGTTCGTATGTTTTCCTGGATTCCCATAACAACTATAGCCATTGTTCAATTTTACGTCAAGATATTGCTTAAGTTTCAACTCTGTCTAAAAGAAATATAGAATTTACAGCTTTAAGATTGTATCCCTTAAAAAAATGTTAGAAATCTCTGAGGGTCCTCTGGCTCTCTTTTGCAGGGAGACAGATTGTAGCTATGCAGTGAATTATGAGGCGATCTAGCAGATGTATTGGCTTAAAATTGGTCAAAGACATTTGTTTTCCCCTGATAATGCATGCTTTCACACAGCACCGGCAGATTAAGATTTCCTGATGCACTGCCACATAGCAAATCAGAATAGCATGGAAAGCATACTTGCTTTGCGTCTGGTTATAAACTCGGAAAAGGTTTTTCTTTGTTGACATTAACGTGTTTATTTATACGATTCCAGTGAGTCAAAAATCGATATATAATTATCGTCACCAATCCCGATAAATTGTTCACAAATATGAAAATATGTCTGACAGTCAAATGAGAACAGAGAGGGTTTTTGTTGTTTTCCTGGTTTCTGACAAATAATTGTTGATTTGTCAGTCATCTGCGTGGCTGATTTTGGTTTCTGTGTTTATTAAAGAGATAATACAAACAATTTAGATGAGACACAGATGCAGGCAAGAGATCAGGTTTTCTGCCAGCTAAGGACTGTTTTTGCATGTGTGCAAATGAAATAGCCTAAATTCAAGCACGATTGGTTCAAAAATGTTAATTATACTGTTTATGAGGAGAAATTTCTTTGCTTGTAAACCCCCTCATCAAAGAGTTGTGTGTTTACAGAAGAGCTGAAACTGGCATTGGCATGTCTTTCAAGTCTATTCAACAATTGGCTCCAGTCTTAATTTTTTCCAAATCTCCATCCTCTGCATATTTTCAGAGGAATACTTGTATGACCGTGAACTTGAATCTGTTGTATATCCAAAACAGTTGTGGTGTTTTTGTTGGAAAGATTATAGAACGCTAAAATGTAAAAGTTTCAATCTCACTGACTCTTAAATACTTATCCAGCCTTCACTTCATGAGCTATGACTTTCTTTGTTGTGTTTATGTTATGCTGTGCTATGTTATGCTTGAATATCTGTTTGCAATTTGCTCTCACTGACCAGAGGTAACTTGTTATGGTTATACTTCATGAGGACCTGACGTGTTTGAGCTAAGAGCTGTAATAAATGTATAGCCTTTATCTTATTTATATGCTTTCCTATTGCTCTGCTTAAAGCGATACGTAAAAAATATCCATTTTAACATCAGTCATAAATCTGAAAGGGATTTTCAATGTGTAGGAAGACATATCATTAACAAAGGCACTCATAAATGTCACTGAGGATTGCTGGTTTAAGACTCCAGAAAACCAGCTTCATGCTCAGAAAGTCTGCTGATCTAAATCGACTGTTTTCAAACTAGCTAAGCTAGAAAAGCCGGTTCTTAATTGAAAGTGTTGCTCACAGATATGCAGATCTATGCCTCTTTGCTGTGTCATTTCTGGGTAGAAAACTTGTGGGCAGTCAGCGTTTCTTGCTCTGAACCAATGTTTCATTGTGAACCTTTGTCTTAGCGAGGAACAAGCTAATTTTTTACAAGTAGAAATTCAGACACAAAATGTTTTATTTGCTCTCTAGAAAAATTGTAATTCCAATCGTGCATCTCAAGAGTGTGAGAATAAAGTCTTAGTTAAAGTTTTCCTCGCATACATAGTGCGGTACATTGAAATTGGAGCAATTTGCAGCCAATTTTAAAGGTATTTTCTTTATTTCCTGTGATGTCATTGGGCACTCCAATAGAGAAAGACGAGACAGATGAGGAGAGCTCATCAGTGAGTCTGACCACAGCTTTTTGAGCACATGGCATGCGAAGCAGCCCACAGATCTCACGTGCAACCCTCTGAAGAAGTTTTCATCAGCTACTTGAGTTCTGTGGGCACCATAAAAAAAGATATCAGATGCCAGAGATTTTGATAATGGAAAAACCTGGTGAACAGCAGTCTGAGGTAATGACTTGAATAAAAAATGATGCGTGCTCCTCAGAAACAGACACATTTTTCTGTAAGTCTTGGCGTCTGTTGGTCATTTGGAGTTGCGTTGGGTTTAGATTTGGGCAATTTTGAGAAGACAGAGGGATTGGTCGTCTCAGACGGAGATATTTGTAGACCTGGTCCATTTGTGTTATTGTTTGCACTGACAGGAGCATAAATTACCATCAGTTTTTTTTATTTTTTTTATTAAACTATTAATATTTTTACCTTTTCTATACTTAAACATCCTGGATTGTCTGACTATGAACGTTACAGACTGAATCACATCTGTCTATTTTCATCTCATAAAAGGGAAAATGTATTAATGAGTACTTCATGTGCTTTGTGACTTTAGACTGTGAACTATGACAAAACTGATAAAATGTGCGTTTACAATGCAGAGGAAAAAAAGCTATTCAGACCAGAAGGTTTACGAGGAGGGAAATATTTACAGATATTTTAACTATTTGTTAATAACTAACATGCATTGATTTATTTCTATTGCAGGGAGTCTCAGTAGCTATTTGTCTTCATGCAGTTTCTCCATGCTGCCCGAGTTCAGTTAGGTGAAGTTATTTCCATCAGCTGGAAAATGCTGCTTCAGCTGTCTCTAATTTATCTTTTTAGATTGGAATAATACCAGCGGCGAGCTCCTGTTATGCGATAAACACCTCTCAACAAGCCCGTAAGCAATGTGCAGAAGAAGGGAAAACAGGTGGCAATTTGATCAACTCATTTAAAAGTGCTAAACAAAATGTGCTCGGCTGCATTATGATCAGAAAATAGTAGAAGCCGGCTGAACATGACTCAAGGTTTAAAGTTACTAAAAAAGATTCTGTCAATCTGGAAGCAGAAATCAGAGGAAACAAATATCCTTAATGCATGGGGACATTTCATGTGGAGAAAGAAACGATATAACTGTGAGCAGGATCTCTCCTGAAAGCCTCTGCCTTTCAACCTCTTCTTGCATCCACTCAGTTCTGCCTCACTTCCTGACACATCTACACTTGGACTCAAATAGACAAGCACATTTGTACATGCGAGCTCACAAGAGGGAGAAGATTTAGTGGAATCTTGGCAGAATCTCTGCAGCCTCTCTGGCCTCTTCTGTCTCCGCTGATTTATCCCAGACCATGACACCTTCCCAAGCCTCTGAGGTCAGATGCTGAACATATGTCAGCACTCATGTCAGCACTCCGTGATTTGGGAAGTCGCCGTGGATGCTACCCTCTTTCTACATATTTTGTCTTGTGAGTTTTATATTAAGACAGTGGAGTATATAATTAATTTGTGGTAATATCATTATAAAGTAGACTGGCTTTGCTAAGCTTTTTAGATTGACACTGCTGTGTTCGCTTTCATATCTAACCATTCTTCACCATGCATCTGCTGTTAAGTTAAGTTAAGCTCTCTTTTCCATCTTGTGAAAATGATAAAATCTTTAACTTGGTGCGACAGGTATCCTGGTGAAGATGCTGAAGAAGGAGAAAAAAAGGGCAGACGATGCCGGTGCTCTGCTGGCCAACATCACTAATATGCAAAGACTGTCCTCCAGCGTAGAGTCCAGCATGTTCACCGCATCACATCTGAGGGCGGGGAGCGTGGACAGTTTTCCAGAGGATCATGGAGGACAGGCATTTTTAATCCCACAGTTGAGAGACGGAAATGTGGACACGTTTCCCACAAAGCATGGAACACAAGCCTTCACAGGGCTTCAGTGTAGAGAGGCAGCCAGGGAGACGTTTGCAGTGGACCACAGAGTAAGAGTGCCCACAATACCACAGTTTAGAGAAGGAAATGTCAACATATTTCCTGCCCACTATGAAGGACAGACATGCATGATGCCACAGTTAAAAGGAGAACATGTGAACACCTTTCCAATGAACCACGGAGGACCAATATCCACAATACCGCTTTCAAGAGAAGGAGGCATGGACCACGGGGGACAAGTGAAACAAAACTTTAAAAAAGGTATTTCACCATTTTATTTAAGTTTAGAAGGACACATTAGTTGTTAACATATAAGATAACAGAAAAGTTTGCTGGAGTGTGGATGTACCTGTATACTTACAGCTGAATGCATGAGTCTCTTGCATGAGTCATTCCAGGTAGAAAAGGCCTGACTGCACCAAAGCTCGAAGCGTACAGTTCACTGACCAGCAGCTGCGGCACCCAGTGACATGTTTAGTTTGAGATATGAATGACCTTATTGATAGATCATAATTGAGATGGATACATTTTGTGGGTTTTCACCACAGCAGTTAACGGAATTGTGTGAACTAGTGGAGGTTTTGACCGATGTTGACCATGTGAAATGTGACAATCCGCCTTTCTCAGCTGGAAGACGTGATAATTTCATGATGAATTGACTTCTAAGCCCTCAGACAGGTGATCTCTGTCAGATGGAATGTGGGCAGCTTCTTGTGGTCATGCAGATTTTCAGTGTGCCAATTATGGGTTTTCTGTGAGCCATAACAAATTCTTGATTCCTGGATTGTACTGAGTGGTGAAGAATCTTGATATACGACCTTTATTTTTACACAGTGCCATCAGTGGGATTGCGTGTATTTAGAAGCGTTCTGCTCTTTGATCGCTCAAGTGGCCCAAACTAGTCATGTCAGCAGTGCAACATTAGACAGTACAGTATGTTAAACCTGTAATTAGTTGCTGATGAAAAGCTGATGGGTTAAAAACCTGTAATGCTCACTGGAACATGAAACAGAAAGCAGGGGCCAAGAATGTGAGTGTAAACATGGGAGGCACGATTCAGGCTGATAGGGATTTGCGAACCTGCAGCATGAACTGTGTTAGAGGCAGCATCTGGCCTAATAGGAAAATTGACTGCTAATGCCTCATATATTTACTGTTGTCCATTCCAATACAAAAGCTCACATTGTTTATACATATGGCCCAATCAAGTAGCTCTGGTTTGTCATGCATGTTTGTTTTGATCTCCAGGTCATCAGGGGCCGTTGATTGGATAATCTCACTGCAGTTTTGATATGGCAATGAGGATTATGATCTAAATTTTTCAAACTAATGACGACCCGAAATAGTGGTGTTCCTTTACACCCCTCCGGAGGCAGCTTTTCTTTGTTAGTGCCCTCTTTTAGGCCCGACTCGGGTTGAAATGTAGCAGTTATGCTGAGGTTTCTGACTGTCAGGCTCCCCTGCTCCAAGCCAACTGCTGCATTTATTTGGCTTCTCTGTTTAACTTTGGGTAAGCAAAGCCTCAAGTGTGATGATAAACCTGAGTCCTTTAACAAGCTTGGTCATTACCATCGGGCGCGGAGACGCGAGCCAAAAACTCATCAAACTCCGCTCCTGTCTGTCTCAACCGCAGCTCCCTCATCCGCTCTGACATTTTTGTGTAATGGTGCCCGACGCACTAATAAAGTCCCTGAAAAGCAGTGTCTCTTTAAAAAAACAAACACACGTCTGAACTCTGTCCAGTGGGGATTAGCGAGCAAATCACTCATCTACCGAAGGGGCGGAAAACAGCGCTGCCTATTAAAGAGAGGTTTATAGAATCCCTGATAAATTATGTGCCATATGCTATAGTCAGTTAGAAAAGTATGTGATCTTATCCGGGGCGAACATTATCATCTAAGTTATCCCAGAGGAGAATTTCTTTTCTTGCTGGATTTTATTTTTTCTGTCTCGGTAGGCTGCTTTCTTTCCTTCTTCCATGCTTTCATCCTCTCTGTCTTTCTCACACATCCACCTAAAGATGTGTGACCATTTGGTACTGATGATATGTCATTATCACCCATCTAATCATCCCAGCCCACCTAATGCTGCCAAAAGTGGGTCTTTGAGCAGAATTGGGTGGAGTTTTTGTGGATTGGACTTGTTTCTCGCAGATGCCACCAGATCCCATCAGACTGGTATCTGAGAAGATTGAAGGCAGGATAAAAACCTCAAAAATGGTTGTTTTGCTCTGTCAGCCCCTCCAAACCTTGAGCTATTTTTCTGGGTCCCATTCATGTCCTGCCAGGGTATGTTGGTATTGTATGAGCTTATTTAGGTAGGTGGAAAATCTCAAAGTAGTAACCCAGCTGTTTCACAGCCAAACAAAAGATTAGCTTTGTGTCACAAGCATAAGTCAGTGTACTCTCTGACTGATAATTAAGTTTATTTTTCTCTTGAAATGTTAAATACAGTTGCATTTGTTTTGCAAACTGTCCAGAAATAAGAATGAATCCACTATGTACATATTCTGCAGAGTCAGTTAACCTGAATTAGGAATCAAATCTAAAAGCAAGGCGTGAACACCAGTTAATGATCAGTCAGTTTGCTCCTCATCCCAGATCATAGTTTGACATGGAGGTCCTGAAAGTCTGAGAAGGACAGAGGCTGCCATGGAAAAATATTCTTGTATGTGTCCTGATAGAGGCCTGTCTCACAGGTGAGCAGACAGTTTTTCTCTCTCCAAGCCGACTACATTCTTCAAGACCTTTCCAGATGTTTTCTATAGGTAGCTGTGTGTCTTCTTAAATATCACCTGTGGATTCAGTTTGGCAGACCGGGGCTGCAATCAAGCTGTTAAAGCATCTCAAGGTCCACTGACAGATGGACAATCTGTGCAAAGTGTTCTGCTCCGTGCACACAGTGTTCCTAATTTGAGATAAAGAAAGAACTCACGTTCAATCAATCCTTAGAAACATAAAAACATTCCCTCATCATTGTAGCCTTTTGTAACAGGTCCAAATACGATTGCATCTGCAAATAGAAAACTTGGTTTAGGAAAAAGCTTTTAATTCTGGTGTTTTATCACAGTTACCAATGATTGAAAGAACTTTAACGTGTTCATAAATAACTTATTTTTTATAATGCCATGACATGGGGCTGCTTCCAAATTAAATGAGATAACAGGATCATTTTGTTCTAATGAAAAGATTGGAAAAAAAAAGTAAAAGAGTTCTGGGAATAGCTTGGTGGGTTTTTTTTCTAAATGGGAGTCATTACGATGGCCATTATGGTGTCACTTTACATCTCACCTGCAAATGGACTCCTCATTTGTCTCAGGATGAAGCCATGATGAGTCTTTCTCATTATTTACTTTTGAACGACTAAGTTAATTTCCCCACTCAAGTCTTGAAAAGTGTGTTTGTTCACAAGGCCTCTCCCTCACTGACCCACTGAGCACATGTTCTGATTCATTACAGTCATTCTGAATGCTTAAATGTCTTTTTCTCACCTGGAGCAAATTAACAGTAGGATTTTCAGGACAGTAGTTACAGTGAATTGGCGGCAGCAGAGCACTTTGGAAAGGTAGACGTGCTGGGAAATAAAATGTCCTAAATCAGACAGGAGCAGAGTAATTATGACTGGACTCCAGGTCAGACAGTAGACAAAAATGTTAGACTGATTTCCGTATTTCTTTGGCTTGTAAAGTGAGATGGTGTGAAGAGATGAGATCAACCTTAAGTCAGACTTTAAAATGACTAAATTAGGACATTTTGCCATGACCATTGGTGCATCGTCCATCGTCTTATAGCAGAAAGCTGCTACCCGCTCCAGAGTTCCCAGGTCCAGGGGTCCCTTGCCAGCAGTTGTGTGTCCACTCTGGAATGTTGCTCCAATTTTCTCACAGCTTATGTACATTTTCTCTCTCTGTCTGCACTTTTTGCAACAAATTCTCAGCGCAAACTCATGGCTCCATCAGCTGTTAACCAGCAGGGAAAACTTGACATTGTCCAGAGAGGTTCTGCTCAGAAGCAAAATTCTTCAGATCACATTGATGCTTTCCAGCAGTATCACTGAATACACTTGACATTTTTCAGAAATTCAACCTCAGGCTTCCTGGAGTACAATGGGGCGTATAAACAAAACTTAATGGAGATCAACGCACAAATAATTTTGGGAAAGGCAAATGTTAGCACTCACGTTCGTATTTCAAGGATTATAAAAATGTGTACTCATAAATCCCCAGTAATGATTTTAAGTATATGATTAGATTATTTTACATCTGTGACTCAGACTCAGCTCCTTTACGTTGCCCCAGTTCAAAATGAATTAACTGCACTTCGGAAATTAGCCTAAATGAGACAGTTATGATGCTGCAAGCATGAATGCATTTGAGGGAATGTCTGTCCCAAATAGATTTACCGTGAATATAATGATAGCCTTTCCAAGGAAAGCTTTTGAGCTGAATAATTGATTCCACAAAACATAAATGAGAATATCACTCGTGTATGTTTTAACCACTTTTCTGATTGTGTGATTTGAATTTCCTTGCAGAGTTAAATTTCTGGAATGTATACTGAATTGTAAAAGGTACAATCTTTTTAATGTCCTTTTTTTTATTTTCTTACTGTACAGAAACTAATGGATGAACAAGGTGCTCCGTTCTAATCCAGGCTTGTATAAAGGCTGGCAGAGCTGAAAGGAGACTTCAGACTTACAGGGACGGTTATGTCTTAATGTAAATTCAGCTTCCTGAGAGGCTAATGCCTTTAGCAGCCCTCCTGAGTAAAGAGTGACACTTCAGCCAGTCAGATACTCTTTTGCAGGGGCCTGAAGTCTCATGCTAAATTAATTATTTTGACCAAATTGATTTAACATTAAGTACTTTAATTGATTGGTATTTTAATTATTAAATTTGTTGAACAGCATTGATTGTTACTGGACATTCCTTCTGAAAAGCGTCTGTGGTTTGTCAACACAGCAGAAAAAGAAATATTGGAAAAGATGACCTCAGGTCCAGAATCTCCCGTTACCCCACCAGTTGTGTTAGCGCAGCATAATATGATGTCATAGCTTTATAAAAAAAATTCCTGGAATGTTTCTTTTTGCACAAATCAAATGGTTCCCTTAAGAAATCCACACATGGACTTGTTGAGGTTGGCTCTTGCAACATACAGTATGTCTGCTGGTTTTCATCAGGACTTTCCAGCGATGAAGAAACAAAATGCTTGACTGTCCAGCAATTAATCTCCAATGAATTACTGCCCTGTGAATATCCAGGTCAGACGCTTCGCCACAAAAGTCCATATTCTCCATCTTAACACGGTTGGAATTTTTTGGAACTGTTGTGAAGTTTTTAAAGATCAGTCTGGGGAGAGTCTTCCAAAAACTCTGCTGGCGGCATCTATAAAAATAATCATACCTCAGTACAGTAGTGAAAACCTTTTTTTTGGTCCCTTTAGCTCATGGTGTTCAAATTCTATTCTTCTGGTACTTAAAAAGAGAAAATGCCAACTGATCATGTCATACAATGCTTTAGTAAAAATACATGATTTGAAACAGATGGATAGAGCTTTAATAAAAATGCCCATTAAGTAATATTACAAGAATTATGAGCAGGCAGAAGGATGTCGGGTTTAAAATGATGTACTTTTAAGTTGCCAAGACTAAGCAGGTGGGCATCCGCTTTGTAATGCTGACATGTGCAGAGTTGCTGTTTATGTTTGTGTTTATGTTCTTTTCGATCATCGAACAGCAGGTTAGTGGTTTGTCTGGATTGTTCTTGGTAATAGGTGGGAGGTCAGGGCTATAGGCTCACATCTGGCTGCCAGATTGAGTTGAGGATGTGGGAACACGCTCAACTCAGGACACAATTTCCCACAGTTGGTGGATTTTTTTTGGTCTGTTGTTTCAGAAACATGGCTATTTTAAGAGAGGTCATTTCATGGTGTCTTACAGGATATCAAACTGATTATTTTCTTATAGATTTGATTCCTGTGTGTTGACTTTATTAGCATTTGTTTTCAGGTGAGTGTTGGTGGCCAAATGAAATATTAATTTGCATAAATTCTGCATTGAATATCAAGGATACATGAACACATACCTGTACTGTCAAAAAGTTCTCAATCATATGTCTGTGTGCTGATATTTTTTTTCCTCAGGTCCACAACTATCAATGGCAAAACAAGAAGCCTTTGAGATCTTCATCAGGGACCACGAGGAGCACAAGACCATTGAAGAGAACAAGAAAATACTCAAAGAGAGGTTTGTGATTCATGGTCCCTCATACTGTTTTTTTTTAATGTAATGGTTTATTTAATTATTTTGTATATATTCAGTCTTTTCTAAGGCTGTTACAGAAAAAAACATAATAAAAAGTAATCGATTTGTCACCAGGTTTTTAAACTAGGTATACCATATATATAACCATAGCCAAAATGTAGTCAAAGAGATGTACATACCTCTTTCAAAGCAGACATTTAGGTTGTTTGCTGCCTTGAAGGATTCAAGTGAGTGTTGAATCAATGTCAAGGAGAAAAGATTTAAACAAGATCTTAAATAAGCAATAACTGTTCTCCATCAGTCTGCGAAGAGTCATAACTCAGGTCATTCCTAAACTATTTGGAGTCCATCGTTCTACGGGGACAAAGATTATTCACAAGTGGAAAACTGGTGAATAATGTCTGAAAAAAGTAAAGATACAAGTTATTGCAATGTTCCAGTTAAAGTCCAGACCTGAACCTGAAATGAGCATAAACAAATGCTGGACAGCTCAACTGAAATAATGTCATAAAATAATGGGCCAAAATTCCTTCACAATGATGTGAGAAGCTGATAGCACTTTATGCTACTGCTGATAGATGTGGTTGTTCTTGGTGGAGGCACTGTCTCTGTATTTTGGCTCAGTTTTACTTTTTTTTTTTTTATAAAACAATGTGCTGCCTATCTGATGTTGTCGCTAGCACTACATCATTTTATTCAATATTTTGATTTGTAAAACCTTAATTCTTAAAGAAAAATATTTGTATGTTCTTATCATTTTACCTCAGATGGACTGTTTAAATATTAATACTAGACAACTGATCTGTCTTTCTTTTGGGATTTTTAACCATTAATAAATAATAGAAAATGAATGAGTTTAGTTGTTAAACATTTGCTTCCTTTGTTTTTACTCTCCCGGTCCGTTAACATTGGGTTCTTTTGAACAGATCAGCTGAGGCCAGAGGACTGGGGGAACAACTGAATGAAGCCAAAAACAGAATTAGTAAGTTGTCTCAACAGATTCAAGGAGCTCTCCAGAGAACACATAATAGTTTGGAACTCTGCACATTTGTAATTCTTTGTTTCACTCAAAATTGTCCCTGTGGCAACCCCCCCAAGAAAACATTAATTACCCGATCATTGTCAGGGTTCCCTGTCCCTGGAGAGTCACAATATCTCTCAGCACATTCCTGAACCTTTCCAGGACTTAAACGCATTCAGATTTCCATCCACCTGAAAGAGTCTTCCAACCTGTACTTTTTATTGGGTTGTCACTGGTTGTTTTACGACCCTGCTGTGAGGACACCCCTGAGTTCTCCTGGATACTCACTCACTCCCCACGCCAAACTGAGACCTGAGGCTAACACTAAACACGTCCACAGTTTCTCTGCTCTGCTTCTTTTGTGTGTGTGTTTACGGTGCATCTCTGCTTTGTAAAGCTCCACAAATCTGTTGATACTCCATATTTTTACGTGGTTTATTCAAGATTGTTCACGTTGATAACTAAAAAAATTCTAAGAAACCGATATAGGTTTCAGTTTAAATTGAAAAAGTGTGATTACATTTTCAGGTAAATTTTAGCTGCTTGATTTAATCACGATAGTTTTATCTGATTCGCATTTTCTGTTGCACACCAGTTCTGAGTTTCCACAGAGTGTGTGTGGCTCAAATCACATGCCGCTGAGACGGATAAGTGCACACCAGACCTGGCATCCCTGCCGCCTCAGATCAGGCTCAGTGGCTTGGTAGCTTTCGCCTCATACATGCCAGCGTACACTTATCACCCTCGGAATTGAAGTTTTTTCTTCTTTGATCCACAAGTTGCTGACACAGCCGTAAATGCTCAGCATCACACAGAAATCAACTTTGACAGCAGACAGAATATTAACTCTTGAAACGTGTTCTGCACACATCAGCACTATGTGGCCCACACAGTGTGGGTAAAGTGGGGGAAAAACATTTGTAGCATTTCTTTGGTTGAGTCTCGGAGACCAAATTCCCCATTTCATGCAAATTTGGAAAAGTTCCCCCAAAGCATCTTGATGCTGTCAAATATTATTACATTGTTAGGTGTATGGAGTTGCATTCTTCTTGAATGAGAGGCAGTGTTTTTAATGGAAGATGGTTGCCTCTTCAGGCTTCTGAGCAGAACCATAATATTTAGCTCAATACGTTTCCCTGCCATCTTGGAGGCCCTGCTTGGAAACCGTACACCACCTGTGTCTCATGGCGAACGCAGAACATGGAAACAGTTAGCATAACAAAGACAAAAGCCTTCTCTGATGGATGTACCCAGCATGAGGGTCAGTAGCAGGGGAGAATGGGAGAGGTGGTAGCCCGAGGAAACATCAGTGTCTAAACATTTCCCTGGTTTACACTATTGTTCTTGGCCACAGCACACGGCTCAGGAATCCTGTCCCACTGGAAGACTATATGTTCTGAGCCCTTAGGTACAAAAAGTGCAGGGATATATATTTATTCTGTTGGACCAGTGATGCACATCCTCTACAATATGAAGGGTGCAGGGAGCTTGAAGTGAGCAGCTTTTCTTGATTACTCTGCCAGATGCTGTTGGATTTATGCAGTTTAATCTTCGTCACCCCATACGTGGACCATCTGCTATCCGCTTAGGTGTCACACTGTCGCCCTTCCTTTTTTTAACTAGCCCCAGCATACTTAGGAGGCTACTTAAGTCTGGGATGAGTGTGACATATTTGTTAACGATTGATAAGATCTTATGAAGCGTGTCATTTTTCATCAAACACCCACTGAAAAGTCTGGTTTATGACCCTACCAATCTATTATTATTTACTTATTGTTCTGTCCATGGCAACAGATACACATGAAAGGGGTTTAGGCAGCTCTGTCATAAATACAGCTGTCCAATAAAAAACAGAAAAAGTTTAGTACAGCTCTCAATCACAACTTCTTATGTGGTTAATATGACATTTTTTTTACCATTCACTGGAAACGAGGCACAAAAGTAATCAATTAGAATCCCTATAAATTTCTATTGAGATAGTGATGCAATCACAAAGTCAAATCTCTTCATGTCACATCTAATAAATCTCGACTGAACGGCCAATACCAGAGGCAGTCACAGTTGGCTTCAGTGTGATGTGGTAGAACAGGTGTGTTGGGGCAGTCTTGTTCTAACGCAGCCCGTTTAGATGTTTCCAGAATGAGGAACTCTTTATAATGTGCGTTTATCTCTCATTAATCCTCTCCAGTGGTTGCAGCTGTTAGCTTAGCTCTGCTACCAGACGCTGTGGCTGTGGACACCACCATCCCCTTGTTCTTCAGCTGCATTCACGCTTGAATCTGTGGTGCCCTGTCGAGCTGTCCTCTAATGACTTTTTCCCACGCCACAAAGCAGACACACAAGATTTGTCAGTTGTAACAGATTTGTGACCACAACTGCACAATATTCTCCTAATGCCGCTTAACTTCTCTGTTTGAATGAACGGGAACGCCAAAGCAGTTTAGAAGAATTCCCTCATTGACTGTTTTGTTTTTTTTGTTCTGTAGTTTGGAAAAAGCTTTTGGCGAAATACATGACTGATGCAAACCACAAAAGGCAGTTCCTTGTGCTCATCATGCATCCCATGGGCAGTTTTTCACCCTGTCATTAGAGCTTAGATATTTCTATATCCCCTTTATGTTGTTTTGAAGTAGACTCTGCATCAATTAGCTGTAGGTCATGTTTTAGACAGTTGTGTCTGCTCACCTTACCACAGGATGAAGCCACAGGGCGTCTCAGTTCATTTACATTCTCAGCTCCTCAAACATATGGCCTTAAGAGAGGTTCCCAAACCCTGTTTCTAACTTTCTAAGCATTTGGAAAAGCACTCTGGTCGTGGGCACAATATGTCTTTGTGTGTCACGGATAATGTTTCACTTCATCCATTCACGTCTCCACAGTCTGCCGAAACCCCAAAAGAGGTCTACTTTAAACAAAAGTGTTTGTGAGGAGTTTTGAAAGATGAGCTGATTGTATGGGCACTTTGCAAACTGTCTTAAAGCTCTCTGCAGAAGAAGGGGAGCAAATTTCAGAAGGCGAACAGCGATAAACTCTGATCCAAGCGTTTTGTGGGGCACCATGGATGATATGGGACAGGAAAAGGTCAACTTATCAAATCCTTTTTTCTTTTTTTTTTTTTTTTACAAGGCAGCACTTCATCTGGATTTCTCATTCTTGTAACTTCAACCTCAGCTTTTAGTTGTGTGATAGGATCACTTTACAGAGCTCAGGCACGGCCCTGCCTACAGGCGTAAGAGGCCTGAGGGATTGTAATGGAAACTCACAGCAGAAGATGCTGCCATTCAATGTCTCTTTTATCTTTAAATCTCCTTTTGACATCTTGTGGAAAATGCATCCCTGAATGCTCGTTCAGCATCTAGTGCCATTAACTATTTATGTAGAATATGTTTTAGTCCATTTACTTTACAATGGGCCTTTGTCATTGAAGCATTTCAGCAATAACTCTTCAGAAGGTTAATGAACTTGGTCTATCAGGTGAAGGGAGACAGTGAAAATAGTGGAACACCCACAGATGACTTACCCATATGGTAAGGCACCATTACAGCCACGAGAGGGACAGTGGCCCAGACGCCTCCCTCATGTTGCTTCCTGGCTCAGTGGATTTACTAAAGTTCACTTCGAGGACAGTGGACGTGTGTAGCTGGTCATTCTTGAGAGCTTTCTCAAGTTCATGAAAAAGCCCAAAGTGGATCTGCAAAAAAAACAACTGTTTCACAGCAATTTAACAATGAGTGTGTTTACAGCAAAGCCAATAAACACACAAAATCCCGTTTCTAACCGTCTGCTTGTACAGATGTTCTGTCCCTCAAGAGGAAGCTCTCAACTTTTCCCCATTTTTTTTTTCTCCCCGTGACTTAGTGTGACATTCAGATTTATCTCAGCTTAGGCTTGCAAACATAAGAGCTCCAAGGACAAAATGTGCTCTTTAAAAGAAGTCAACGTTTAGCGGGGTTGGAAATTTTAGCAGGAACACATTAGAGCTGCACCAGGACCCAATAGAGTGTTTGACTTTTGGGCTGGATATTTACAGTAAATGTTTCTTACCCTTGTTTCCTTACACTTGTCATGAAATCGCCCACTCATGCCACGATTCTTCCAACACACAGTATGACACACATCAGCACCATATGCTGATGACTATGCATCAGACCAAGTTGAATTAGAGTCATCGTTAATCCTTAGTTTTTTTCATATGTGAGCACTGACTGGTTGACTTAGCAACAAATGCTGAAATCGGCCCATCTGGTGTGTAATTTATAACTTTAAGAGAGAAAAATTTATGAGTTTCAAAATTCCTCACTGGCACTATTTGTATTGAGCCTATTGTGTGTGTCATGATTTGAACAAATACTGGTCACTGGATCGACCTGCATCTTATTTAATACAGTGAAGCAGATATGAGTCATAACCCAACATAAACATTGTGTTTATTATGTAGATATGGCAGAAACATAGATTAGAAAGAATGGATCAACACCTTTTGATGGGAAATGTACACAACATTCATACATTTTCTTTTAATATATTGGGGTATTGTTTGGTAGAAGTTTATAATCTTTTTTTTTTCTTTTTGCTGTTCCACCCTCCCACAGCTGAGTTGAAGAAACAGTTAGAGATGCGGAGGAGACAGCGGGCAGCTCATGGTAAGATCTAGATGACACATATTGAGGAGAGGCAGAATTTCCACCTCACTGTATTCACATCACGTCACTGCTGGTTGTTTTGTGCTGAAACTTGGAATAAAAAGTCCCAGGTTCCAAGATCTTTTTGATCCTGAGCTCTTTGCTGAAATGTTTTTTTAAAAATTTATATTGTGGATGCTCTGGTTCTGTGTGCAAAGCAGTGGCCACTTCAAACTTTTTTAGCAGGAGTGTTCGCCGACTACGAGCTTAAAGACCAAAGCCTGGGCAACACAACATAGAAATTCATTCATTTACTCGGTTCTGACTGTTTTGATCAGTGACATAAAAGCTTTGATGAAGAAATCTGGTCATAAAACACAAACATCTCCCTCCAATTGAGGCGCCAGAGGCTTTTTTTTTTGTTATTTTGAGTCTCGCGTCAGAGAACACTTCACAGCAGCCTGGTTTTTGTTATCCAGGGCAGAAGGTTTAAATGATGTCTTTAAATAAATATACTCGTATGTGCATGGCTGCACTGATTTCTGATCTTAAAGACAGTTAACTTTAATGGAGATGTTATAATGAGACCACATATCTGTCTGTGTGTAAATCTTTTGTCACCCCCTCTGCCAAAAGGTGTCGCGGGGAATCAGACACAGGCCGAAGAAGAATTCGACCTCGCGGAGGAAAACCTGTGCAAACAAATTAAGCAAGAAAAAGTGGCGTGAGTTGTCTGAATTGTACCAAATGTTTTCCTAGTATCTCCCAAGACACGGCTTGGGTTGATTGAACACAACAGGTGCTGCGTGACACAGACATAAGATGTATTTTGTGCGTCTGATATCCTCCTGTCAGCTACAAGAGCGCCATTGGCCGGCTGAAAGCGTTGAGAACAGAGATCGAGCATCTGCAGCTGTTGCTGGAGAGGGTGAAGGTCAAGATCCAGAAGGATTTCCAGAAGTGGTGGAGCCAGGAGGCCTCGAATCTGCAGGTGACTGACCTCACCTCTCTTTACCTATGAGTGTTAAACACGCCACATAAATCTCCTACACGTATGATGTAATGACAATGTTAGAGTGTCAGGACATGCTTCTATAAATTCAGAGCGTCTGTTTAATCCTTGGGAGGGTGTGTAGGAGGCCAGTACACAGAAATCTATTTTCCTCTCTTAATTCCAACTGACTGGAGCAACTTGAGATATAAGCAGGATCTCGGAGGGAATAAGAAATGACTCAGTGTCTCTTTAAGTCTGATTTTATAGTTGAACATTTGCGCTTAAATACCAAATTCCATCAAGGTCAACATTAATGTTCGCTAAGGCTCGGAAAAGAGGAAGATTGATTTTAAACTCACGTCACCCTGACTTACAGAGAAGTCTCACAAATAGCATTTTATTGCCTCAATGGCTGTTGTGCAGATTTTTGTAAAAGCAACCACAGCGAAGACACGAAGCAGCAGCAGCATCTGCTCTTCTGTTTTGATCTAATGAATGGAGAAGAGTATCTCACTCACATCTGAGCATTGTTTGGAAATGTATCACAGAATGAGAAATGGGAAGAAGAGGAAGTCTGACAGACGGGCCTTACATGTGCAGGATGCAGATCGTGTGACTTGCCAGTTTATGTCCAACAGCTTTGTTCAGCTATTTATTTCACATATGTACTCGTTTAAACTTTGCAAAAGATGTATGATGGAGCTGGAGGACCCAAAATAACCATGGTCCTTTGTTCTCTGTAGACGTCTGACACATATGGCCACATTGTGTTTAACTACTGTGATGATTACATTAAGAGTTGTTTCAGAAATGTTTCACCAATTAAAACAAAAATGTTATTAGGAATCTGATCCAGGAGCCATGGCCAGACGCCACAGTACGCCACCAAACGGGACCTTGCAGCCATCATCACCAGGCACTCCAGGATTTGGGTGAGACGTTTTCCTTATACGAACCCTTTATCCTTTCCACCCCACAGCAGATTAAAGGAGACCAGCTAAATAGTTTTTTTAAAGTACTTAATCAGTTCCATATCAAAAACTCACATCTCAAAGCCATCGCTTTGTTCGGAGCGTGTGTCATTCAGTGATTGGCAGGTAGCATCTGTATCTGTACAGATCCATTTTCATTTAAAGACATCATTTCCATAAGCGGCTGTATAGCTCATTTAAACTGAAAAATAAATTAGCTAATAATGCTTTACATGTTCTTTGTCTTACGTTTCAAATTTAGTTCCCAAAAGGCAAATCTGACCTTTTTTTTCACATTTTCTTTTCATTGCTGCTTGTTGAAAGTTTCCATCCACTTGATGCAGTGGAAAGGCATGTATGAGCTCAGCACTAGAACCAGAATTACAAAAACAAACAAACATTTGCAAAATCTTGCCCATAAAAACAACAGTTTGAAAATTAAACCTCTATAAACCTTAAGTAAGCCCAGAATTTATGGAGTTATTATGTAACACAGGAACTCCGGCATGATTTTCACTTCTCTTTTACCTGCCGGCGGGGCTTTACATCAGTTCCACGTTCCTGTCTGTGCTCCACTGTTTTTCTAACCGGTTCCATGCAGAACTCACTAGGAGATTTTTCCTAAAAGGAAAATCAAAACCAACTGTCTGTCTGTGTCTCGGGAAATCAGTTTGGCATGTGGTAGCGTGAGCTATTTTTGTGTTCTGTCATACAGCAACTCAAATGTTATTGGGTTTAATTTGTGCACAAATCTATGTTTGCACTTGTGTAACATTGTACAAAAGAGGCACATCCTGTAAAAAGAGGGTGTGAGCAGCTGCACCCCCAAGATTTGAAGAGTTGAAGAGTTTTTGAAAGCTGTTGCTGTCTCTAAAATGAAGGCAAACATCTAGAAACAACATGCATGATATATCTCTTTTACAGGTGTCCCGACTGGTACATGCATATATATACGAAACCAGTAAAAAAAAAGAAACCCTCCTCACGTTGAGTCATTTCTACTGAATGCATTAATGTTATTTTTACCCGCTCACCATCTGTGCACAGATAGTGCTTGGTTGCTGGCCAGCAACCCGCAGCTCTGCAGTTCTTGTTTCCAAGGAACAGATATTAAATACACGTTAGCATTTAGTCATTGTGCCTGTTTGCCTCTCCATCTGTGGCGCTGAGAATATGTTAGCAATACACCCTACCTGACAGTGAACACACGGGTGGTGTTTGATAGCTCACACAAGCCAGTTTTTGTCAAGAAACTGCCTCAGGAGACCTGAATGTACTCACATTGTGCTCCTCACATAAAATGATCTAAATCTCTTGTCTTGCCGGTTGCTAAATGAATTATTGTAGGATATTTGTAAAAAGGCCATTGCGAGGTAACATAATGCCCAGTGATAGCAGCAGTAGGGCTGACCTGGCCACAGATTGTGCCCATTTTCCAGCATTAGTGCCTTGAAAGCCTGAATTTGACCTTTGTGAAATCTGCAGAAGCCCACTCTGAAATGAAAACCTTAATGCTGCAGCTCCCTCGTGTGGTGCACAGAAGTGTGTGCATGATAAAACCAGTTTGGACTGACTTTCGGTATCTACTCATTTACAAATTGTCAGGAAGCTGGGGTTTAGGGAGGACTCAGGCGCAGAGAGGTGGT